AAGAATGTGTAACTACCAAGATACCGGAAAGGAAAAAAAGAAAAAAGAAAAGAAAAGAACCCACTGGAGAAGACAGGGGACATGAAATAAGAGAGACAAAGGGAAAAGAAATAGTAAAATACTAAGTATAAATCCAGTACATCAGAAATCACAGTAGGAACCAGAAGATGGCATAATGGTTACGTCACTGGACTCCCACATAGTTGACTGTGGTTCGAGTCCCGGACCCGGCAGCTTACAACTCACACCAGGCATGTGTGCGTGCATGCCCTAGGTTCCAAGAGGAGATTGGAAGAGAAGGGATTGTGGTGTGGCCATCTCCCCTGAAGAGTGATTTCTCCCTTTCTTTCTGTCTCTCTCAGTCTTTCCCGCAAGCACACATACCCTATAGCAAAAATCTCTCTAAGAAACGATCATAATAAACATAATTTTTTAAAGAAATCACATTCAATGTCAATGGAGCAACTAAAACAAGTTTGCTAGCTTTCATGAGAAACAAAGCAGCTACATGCTGCTTACAAAAAAGTACCACAAAAACAGGAACATAGAGAAGAGGCCAGCAGATGGCATGGTAGTTGAGGCACTGGATTCCCTCTTGGCTGACCACAGTTCGAGGGCAGACTCAGCAGTTTGAGAATCATACCAGGTGTGTGTGCATATGTGCCCAAAATCCTGGGAGGAGAAAGGAGAAGGAATTGTACGTGGCCATCCCTACCCCAGAGGGGTGATTTCTCACTTTCCCTCTCGGTCTCTCTACCATGACAGCACACGCCCCATGGCAAAAACCTAGAAAAAGAAAAAAGAAAAGAAAAATTGCAAAGGATTGAAATTACAGAGAAATTATGTATCTGACAACAGAATTAAACGAGAATCCAATAATAAAACATATTTCTAGAAAATCCCCAAGTATTTACGTAGAAAACAACTCAATAAATGATGACTCCCTGACAGCACTAAATCAGGCCGGGAGAGGAAGGGTGAGCGTGGAGATGGCCATCGGGCAGGTGGGATGGGGTGGGTGCCTTGGGGCTGGTAGGAGGCAGCGCAGTGGAGGCGTTCGGGTCAGAACCGTCCCGGGCCCCCTGAGCTGTGGCGTGGTGCGGGTAGAGGCGCTCTGGCTGCGGTTACGGACTGGGACGAGCCTGATCACACAAGCGTTTGAGGTAGCAAGCACCACGGAGCGAAGCTAGCTCCAGATTGGGGGGGTGGGGGCGAAGGGGCTGAAGGGCAGTGTGGGGTCTGAATGGACTGGCTTCCCAGGATGGCTGAGCAGGACGGTGGGAAGGGAGAAGGGGCAGAGGCTGCAGTGCCAGCTAGAGGGTGCAGGGGTGCGGGCGCTGGATGTGACCCCGAGACCCTAGGGGAAGTCCCAGGAGGGTCTCAGGCCAGAGCGTGCCTGGGAAGACGGACGTGGTGAAGGTGACCTAGCAGGCGTGTGTGAACTGGACCAGAGCTGGGAACACAGAGCGATGGGGATGGGGACCCCGGAGAGGTGAGCCCAAACCTTGGCTGCGACAGGCAATGAGGAGGGGAAGAGAGTAGAGCATTAAAAAAAAAAAAAAATTGAAAATTAAAAAAAAAAAAAAATTGAAAATTAAAAAAAAAAAAAAATTGAAAATTAAAAAAAAAAAAAAATTGAAAATTAAAAAAAAAAAAAAATTGAAAATTAAAAAAAAAAAAAAATTGAAAATTAAAAAAAAAAAAAAATTGAAAATTAAAAAAAAAAAAAAATTGAAAATTAAAAAAAAAAAAAAATTGAAAATTAAAAAAAAAAAAAAATTGAAAATTAAAAAAAAAAAAAAATTGAAAATTAAAAAAAAAAAAAAATTGAAAATTAAAAAAAAAAAAAAATTGAAAATTAAAAAAAAAAAAAAATTGAAAATTAAAAAAAAAAAAAAATTGAAAATTAAAAAAAAAAAAAAATTGAAAATTAAAAAAAAAAAAAAATTGAAAATTAAAAAAAAAAAAAAATTGAAAATTAAAAAAAAAAAAAAATTGAAAATTAAAAAAAAAAAAAAATTGAAAATTAAAAAAAAAAAAAAATTGAAAATTAAAAAAAAAAAAAAATTGAAAATTAAAAAAAAAAAAAAATTGAAAATTAAAAAAAAAAAAAAATTGAAAATTAAAAAAAAAAAAAAATTGAAAATTAAAAAAAAAAAAAAATTGAAAATTAAAAAAAAAAAAAAATTGAAAATTAAAAAAAAAAAAAAATTGAAAATTAAAAAAAAAAAAAAATTGAAAATTAAAAAAAAAAAAAAATTGAAAATTAAAAAAAAAAAAAAATTGAAAATTAAAAAAAAAAAAAAATTGAAAATTAAAAAAAAAAAAAAAATTGAAAATTAAAAAAGACCCACATCACCCTCCCAACACAGCCACCCACACCCCTCAGTCAGCAGCAGCCTCACAAAGCATGAAAATCGCGGCCTAATTGCTCCTTTCAGAGTTAATGCTCCCGAACGGGGAAGTGTGTGTAATGTTTAGTCTCATCCCTGCCGCCCAAATCGCAGTTTGAAAGCCCAATCTTATTAAAAATAGAATGATGAACCCCCACCCAGACACACCCAGACCCTCAGAATCCCACGTTTTCAAATACGACTTTCTTTGTGTGTCCCCGTGTCTCTGGCTGTGGGCAGGTGACTTCCTGAGTCCCCAGGAGCCTTCCGTCCTTCTGGCCCAGAGGTCCCTGAGCCTGGAAGAAAGGTCAGAGGTTAATTATGTTCCTGTCCCTTTGCATCCCAGCCCCTTTGGGGTCAGGGGGCTTCGTCGTCCTCTCCATCCACACAGGGCTTCTTCCTTTCCTTTCCTTTGTCGTCCTTGCAAACTGGACGTGACGCGGACCCTGTGGCGGCTCCCCTTCCCATGTCTAGAACTCCTCCGAAACAGTCCTCCGCAGCATCACGCACTGCGGGCCGCTTCCCAGACTCCAGGAAGCAACGTTGCAGGAGGTGCTCAGCACAGAGCCAGGCTGCCGGGGTCTCCGGGTCTCCACGGGCGAGGACACCCCAGACACCCGGCCCACTGCCTCCTCCCAGCCAGCTCTCCTCTGCACTCCCTGTCTCAGCCCCTGCTTCTAACTGCTGGCAGGACCTCCTAACTTCCTGGCCACTGGGATACTGGTGCTTTCCTCCAGCCAGGCAGCTCCCGCCCCAGAGTCTAGAAGAAGCTTCTGTCTGCATCCCCCACTTTCTGTTTTGCTGTCTGCCATGGGGTACGCACACTCGCCAGAGAGACACAGAGAGAGTGAAGGGAGAGCGAGAAGTCACCCCAGGGGGATGGCCACGCCACAGTCTCTCCTCTTGGGACTTTGAGCACGTGAGCACATGTACCCTTCGTGATTTTCAAGCTGCTGGGTTCAGGGCTTGAACCACGGTTGGCCATGTGGGAGTCCTGCACCTTAACTACCATGCCACCTGCTGGCCCCTGCCTCTCCCACTTTGGTAAAACAAGCTCAGACTGCTAGTCCTGGTTTTCTCTACCTTCCGTCTGAGGGTTTTCTAGAACTGGACGTCACAGAACATCCTGAGAGTCCATTTCCCGATTTGTAAAATAAAGATGGTAATCCTACGACGAAGTACCTTCAAAAACGTCCTTGGAAAAAACGGAACTCAGAGTATTTGGTGTGTGTATTTTATTAATCCATGCCTCTTTTTACCATCGTGTGCATTCCCCCCGAACTTTGCGAAGTCTCCCCTTCCATGGGCAGCAAGGGGGTTGTAGGAATTAAGGAGAGCAGGTGTCAGCCACCTAGCTCCGTTAGAGCTTAGGAAGTGTGCGCCGCCATGACGGTTTTGATTCTGCCTGGTTATCGCGAGTTCCTGGCCTCAACCCTGAGCTTGAGCTCAGGGTCCGATAGGCGCAGAGTTCAGTCACTGGCCGACCGCACAGGCCTCTCGCCCAGCACCAGAGCAGGACTGGACAAGGCGGGGCCGAGGAGAGCTCCGAGTGTCCTGTGCTGGGCACAGCAGCCCGCCTTCTTGCCTGGGCCATCAGCCCTGCCACGCCCTGAGAACCGGGGCATTCTTGGCACTCGTGCAGGGAGGAAATGAGACTCAGAAAATCGGGTATCCTGCCAAAATTTGCAAAACAGTAAGTAAACGTCTGGACCGGAACCCCAGCCAGCCTGCCTCCCCTCCTGGGCGTGCAGAGATGGTGGCGCTCCATGGGCAGCTGAAGAGGCTGGGGCTGGCGGCTGAGCAGGCAGCCAGTGCCAGCCCTGCCCCTGAAGCCCACGGGCTTCTCCTCCCAGGGCCCGCCCTTCCCTGACCGCCCCTTGACTTCTCCTGGGGTGGACCTGGGTGGGTGCAAGCAGACTGCATCTCTCGATCCAGACCAAATTACGCTCACTCTGCACCTCTGCCCGGATTCGCACGCGCCCTCATCACTTTTCCCCCATTGGTTGGCCGCGAAGGCAAAGACCAGAGGTCTGAATTGGGAACTGAGTTCCCAGAAAACACGCAGCAGACACTTCCAGGGCATTGTGCCCCTCCCAGAGCTGAGCCACTTGGTCTGTGGTACTCTTGGGTGGTGCTAGTGGTCCCTGGTGGGGCCCAGACCCAATGACAATGGAGGGACAGGTGAAGGGGAAAGGTGGGCTCAGAAAGAGGGAGGCAGAGAGGGCGATGAGCCTGGGGACCTGGGAGGGCCCGTCGCACTTGCTTTCTGACCTCCCTGTGCTGTGGAGGGTCTCCTCCCTCGAGGACTCGACCCTCACAAGCAAAGCCCCAGTTCAGGACCTGCAGGCAGCTGAGCCTGGGGTCAGGAGTGGCAGGCAGCCCTCCTCTGCGGTGTCAGCAGACGCCTGCCCCCTGGTGGAGGCACGGATCCCAACTCAGGAGGTCCAGGCACTGCCGGAGAGCCAAAGTTCCTGACCAGGTCCGGGGTGCCCGTGCTGCACCCACCGACCGACTTTGAGCAGAGGTGCAGACAGCCCCCCAGGCCCCCCTGAGCCTCTGGACCCTGCTCGTCCCCATTTTCGCCCCTGCTGTGCTCTCTCGTCCTAGATGAGCAGAACGCCACGTGCACGGAGCCCCCGGAGCTGCTGGACTGGCCCATCACGCGGGTGGGGAACCCGCTGCGGTACATGTGCATCACGCACCTGGACAGCCACGACTACATCTTCCTGCTGTTCATCGGCTTCTGCATCTTCGCAGCGGGCACCGTGGCCGCCTGGCTCATGGGCGTGTGCGCCGTGCTCTACCAGAACGCCAGCCGCAAGTCCAGCGACGACGAGGCCGAGGACGAGGGCCTAAAGGTGGGCGTGGACAGGCGGATTTTCCAGTCCAGGGATCGCGTGAACCACGACGGGTTCCCTCAGATGATCTAGGTGCCCGCTCTGGCCCCCGCGCCCCAGCACTTCACAGCTCCCTTAGCTCGGAGTGAAATAAATTAATGTGTGTGGCCATCTCACGGGGTGGTCCTTCCCTGCTCCGCCAGCCTGAGGACACTCCTCGAGGGGGGCAGGATGAGGCAGGACGAAGTCTAGACTCCTGCGGGACGCCTATAAATGTGGGCGCCCACCCAAAGGCAGCCGCCCACGTTCAGTGAGCCCCTCCCATGGCCCTCCCTAAGAGCTGGAGGGAGGGACACAAGAAACACAAGACCCAGGGTCTTCCCCAAAGAGCTAACAATTCGGGGGAAGTCAACATATGCCCTTCTTGGGGCCAGCAGGTGGCGGGTAGTTAAGGCACTGGACTTTCACATGGGCAACCATGGTTCAAATCCCAGACCCAGCAGCTTGAAAATCACACCAGGCATATGTGCTTGTGTGCCCAAAATGCTAGTAGGAGATTGGAGGAGACGGGATTGCGGTGTGACCCTCCCCAGGGGGTGATCTCTCTCTCTCTCTCTCTCCCTCTCTCTCTCTCTCTCGTGTGCACGCGCACGTGTACTTACTCAATGTAAGGCAAACACCTTTTAAAAGACAGGAATGTGTCCCTGTGCACGGGCCATCCCCACGCTCCACCCCACCATTATCACAGCCCTGCAATACTGCATTACCTAGCAGTGAACCATTAAGGTCTGGAGAGGTCAGACGACTGGCCACGGCCACTGACCGGTAAGTGCGCAGTCCCCAAGTCCACGTTCTTTCCTACGTAGCTGCTCCCTTTTAGCCACATAACCGAGGGGTCCTAGACAGCCTTGGGTAAAACGGGGTGAGGCATGCAGGGGCCGCTGCCGACAGTCCTCACCGAGTGCCCAGCTTCCACACCCTTCCTCACTGGGGTAACGTTCACCACAGCCAGATCCGGCAGTCCTTGTGACCCTCCTTTCCCCGGGGGCTCACATGGCAAAGTGGTGACACCATCCGCAAGAAGCACGCCGTCGCCGCCCCCCAGGCTGCCTGCCACGGAGGCCCCACGCTGGGCACTCTGAGCGCCGTCTTTACTGTGTGCTGACCAGACTTACTGTGTGCTGACCAGACAGCCCAGCACACAGTACGGCCAGGCATCGGGGCAGCCAGAGGAAAGGGGGAGGGGAGAAGAGGAGTGTGGTGAGGGGAGGGGGTGTGGCTAAGGGGAGGCTCCGCCCAGGCCCTAAGACCCATTGTGACCTTTCCTGTCTCCACCCAGATCAAATTGTACTCTTTAAGACTCACATCAAAGCCCCCAGCCAGGCCTAGCTCACCTCTGCTCTTCCACAGGGAGTTGCCCTTGACCTAACCACCCTACCCCATCCACATCATGCACCCCACCTTTCTTTTGCAGCAGTGGGGAAGAGCTTGGGTCCCCAACTGGGGGCTGGGCTCCAAGCAGCAGTCCTGCAAGGTGTGAACCTGGGCTTCCTACACGTGAAGGCCTCGCAGGCAGAGCCCGCCTGCCCCCACCCCACCCCGAACACGGGCGGTGCCGCACCCCAGGCGGGCGTTCAGAGCCTGATCCCGGCTAATTCCTCAGGTCCCAGCCCACCCACTGCCTCACCCCGTCCCCCAGTCCGCTATCCTGGAGTGAGGGGGTGACCGTGGGCAGGTCAGCTCACTCCTGCGGGCCTCGTTTCCTCATCCCTGCATGTCATCACAACGCATCTGAAATACGGGGGTACTGAGACACGAATGACTAGAGACTATGAACCTATTGTCATAGACTCTTACTATGAAATAATTTTAGACTAATGGAAAGCTACAAAGACAGGCCAGCAGACGGTGCAATGGTTACAATGCTGGACTCCCATGTAGCCAATTGCAGTTCAAGTCCTGGTCCCGGCGGCTGAAAACTCACACAGGGCACTTACACATGCGTGCTCAAAATCCCAAGAGGAGAATGGAGGAGAAGGGATTATGGCGTGGCCTTCCCCTTGGGG